CAAGGCTGAAACCCATTGGCAAGAAAATTGCAAACATATTCTATTATACTTAAACTCAGTGAATAATACCATCTATTTAGTCATCAAGAAACCTGGGCGTTAAAATACCAGTTTTAATAATTACTACTTGGTAACAGCTACTTTAAGCAAGAATTATATTAGATTGTTTATAATAAACCTAATCCCATCCTCCAAAAACCATGCAAAATAAGTACTATTCTGAGAAATAAGTAAGGAAGGAATCTCACAGTAAGGAATCTTTTGATAGTTTAGTTAATTCAGGTTTTCTCCAATTAATCTGAATACTGAATGCTTTTTTCACCATAACTTTTGGCAAACCAATCAATGGTGCTGTCAGATCAGACTTCAGAAATAACTTATTTTTAAATTATCATCAGCAAACTGTTGTATAGATCATCCTTTTTTGCCAAAATCATACCAGTGATATACTGTATAAAGATGAGGATGAATAGTTGAAAGTAGTATAATATGAACTTAAACGGGCATTATCTATATCTATATTTAATCAAAATTTTACCTCCTCACAGCCTGATTCCTTGGAGTGAGTACAATTTCTTTCATATCTATTATTTATGAGAATTTACCTGTTAGGATAATATATCCAAACGGTAAGGAAAATAATGAACATACCTATAATCTATGTTTTTCTGTGAGCATAATATTTTTCTGAACAGCATAATATTGTTATTATTTCTATGAGGTAGCAAACAACATATACTAATTCAACACTAAGATTAAACAGCATGGGAATACACAAATAATTTATAAACTATGATGCCTTCTCCTAAAGATGGTCTACTTGTGACTAAATGAATTGTAAAATGCCAACAAAGAGACTAAGGAAAAAAAAACTGAGCTCACAGACAAAGAGATCAGATTGGTAGTTTTCAGGGGTTAGGGGTTGGTGAAGTGAGTGAAGGAGATCAAAAGGTACAAACTTCCAGTTACAAACAAAATAAATCTTAGGGATGTAATGCACACCATGTTGACTATAGTTAATAATAATGTATTACATATTTAAAAGTTGCTAAGAGAGTAGTAGACCTTAAAAGTTCTATCACAAGAAAAAACAATGTCTTTATAACAAGTACAGTGATGGGTGCTAACTAGACTTAACACTTTGCAATACACACAAATATCAAATAATTATGCTGCATATTGATACTAATATGTTATTTATCAATTATATTTCAATAAAAGTAAAATAAAATATAAAAGAGAAGAGGCCAAGAGTACTTTGATAAAACATTAGAAAATCAAAAGCAGGAATATGAGTAATTGCCAAAGACATGGTAGAATGATATGCAACTAATAAGAACTCTTCTAAGAGGGAGATGATTCTTGCAAATGCAGTGTAAAATATATCAAGTAGAAATAGTTCCAATGAAGTTACATAAATCTGCTCTAGTTGTCCTTTATATGTCCCTGCATTATCGATTTACACAAAACTTTTCTTTAAAAGATGTTTCACAGATTACAGAAAGCAAAAAAAGGAGGCTCTACATTCTGTAAAGACAAAAGTTACTGTCACTAGCTTCCAAAAATCACACCTCTATCTACAAATTTGCCACAATTAGGTGTGCTGACATAAGCATATTTCATTACCAAATACCAAAAATTCTGCAAGAGTTAAAATGCTGCAGGCAGAAGGGAACAAAATAATCCAAGCAAACTCAACATTCTTAAAAATCATTATCCACAACATCTTGAAAACCTACACAAAGTATCTACACATGCCAAAGAGAAAAGAAATTCCACACAAAACCAATAAATGGATATTCTAGCATCATACCTTAGGGAAAAAAAATGTTGGAAATACAGTTATTCATATAAGAATTTATTGAATACCTTGCCAGATTGTAATGCCATATTCAAAATGAAAAACAAATATCTAGCAAATATCATTGATATGTTAAAAAGTATGAAATCAAAAGATACACGTATTTGCAACCGTATTAAGCTTAGTACTTGTATTATTGTCCCTTAACTTTCACTTATTATGTTCCTATAGCTACCACCAAATCCACAAATGAACATAAGAGGCATAATCATCCTGTTCACTTTCTCAATGTCTTAGAATACCTGCAGATGCAGTAGAAAATGGTTAATAGACACTTGTCAATTCAGCTTAAAAAAAAAACAATAGCCTGTATGTTAACTGATGCCTAAAAGATCCATCATTATTCAAACACAATTACAATTTCCTTTCTAATAAAAACATTGTGTATATATGCCAAATGACACATTTTCAAACACGTTCCTTTTTTTTATAATTGTGAGAAGCTTATGAGTATTCTACCAAAGAATTCAAAATAAGCAAAGTTTAATAAAATATACACACAAAAACCAACCAAAAAGAGATCATACAGAAATGGTTTTAGAAATTTTATCTTGTTAGTAAAGCAAATCTTGACTTAAATTTCAAATATTGCAAAAAAGTTAAAAGAATACAATACCTCCACCTAGATTCAACATTTGTAGCAGTTTGTTACAAATGCTTTGCTACCTCTGCCCATTTCTTCCTCTCTTCCTCCCTTATCTATCAACCAACTTATTTCTGACAAAGCCCCCTGTAATCGATACGTTAATACTTCTAAGACAATGACACTAAGATAAATACTATAAATATCCTTATATAAATTCAGTTCAAGTTTTGTCACAAAATGGGTTCAAACAGATCAGGTTTTGTCCCAAATAAGATTCCTTCTTAATGTTCTGGTTTTCAAAATTTCACATTTTAAAAATGTGGATAAAGGATGGTGGGCTGTACTATTATCCCCACATCATGGAGGAAGAAACTGTAGCACAGAAAGGTTATATAACTTCTTCGAGACTAGAACAAGTTGGCAAAACCAGTAAGTGAAAACAGGCAATCTACTCCAGAGCCCACACTTTTAACCACTGCTCTAGGAAGCCTCCAAATGAACAGGAAATCCTCATGACTTCATCTTCATGCAGAATATGAACTCATACTCCTAGTCCCATTTCTATCCTTAATCTAAACCACCATCATCTATCCATCTCTGGGTTTACTTCAATAGCCTACTAAACTAAGCTACCTGATTTTTTTACCCATTTAACTAATAGTAAAAGTCAATGTTCTTAAAATAGCTTACAAGAAACCATAGGTTCTGTACCACCATTTATCTTACATCTGTGACCTCTGCTACTCTCTCCTCCCTCACTCCACGCCAGCCATACTGGTTTCTTTGTAGTTCCCAGACGCCAGGAATGTTCCCACTTGGGGCCCTAGCACTGACTATTCCTCCTGCCAGGGTTATGTTTCCCCCTGTATCTACATGACTCCCTCTCTCACTTCTCCAGTATCATCTCCATTGAAGCTTATACTGTCCACATCACTGAATATTGCAACTGTCCCCCAAAAAGCAAAGAATACTCCAGATACCCCTTTTCCTGCTCTATTTCTTTCTCCATAACACCTATTACTTTCAAACATTCTAGACAACTTCCTTATTTTTTATTTCCCTGTCTTCTCTGCTCTTAGATTTATATGTATACCAATGTATCCCAAGTCTTGAGAAAAGCACCCAGTGCATAGTACCAGCTCAAAAAACAACTGTTGCTGTTGAGACTTCTATGTCAACTTCAACTCAAATACTTTGTTGAATTAAGCTCTTCTACATTTCTTAAGTTAGCGTTTCTCAGCATCTCATAGAAAACTAAGAATTTCAACAAATATGCTTAAATTACATTTTAAAACAGCCAATTATACATAGTTATTCTTTGATTAAGATTCCTTTTTATGTAGAAATATATTTTATAGACATGACGATGTCTATGATGTCACAGAGAATGACAGGAAGGTAAAGAACAGTTTACATAGTATGATCCCTTCTATAAGGACAACATTATGTATTTGTGTGTATCAGGGTTTTTTGGTATTGTGACATTAGGTATTTTTAAAATATTTCTTCCTTCTGTATGTATTTCCTCATTTTTTAATAATGAATATATATTGTTTAAATAATTAAACAATTATATCCAAAAAAGAAGTATTTTTACAATACAAATACCAGTTAAATTCAAACTCTTGTTCTTCTATGAAAAAAAATTCACGGTTAATATATCTATTATACAAATAAAATGCACATAGGTATGTGCTACTAATGTAATTTAACAGACCATCTGCAGGTATTTAACTAATTCTTTACACAAAGGATGAGGTAGCTAATTCTTTTCTTTATATAACAGGTAATGTGGCATAAATGTGCTAAATACTACCACTACATAATGTATGTATATAAAATACACATATTCAATCTAACTTTCAAATACTACCTCCAAAATACTACTTTCAACAGGCTTTTATTCTTGTGGTATAAACTTACAAACACTTCTTTTTTATCTTTAATTCAGAACTGCAACACAAATATATTCAACTTGAGCTTTTGTTATTCCTGCTTTTAAGAAATTATTAATATTTATTTCAATTGTTCCTTGCTATAAAAGTATTTAAAGTAATATAATGAATAAAGATGGATTTAGAAAAACTGTACTCTGTATTTGATAAATTTTAAAGGTGACTGCTATTTCACTTAAGGGAAATCAACAAAAGAGCTACTTTAACGTCAACTCTGAATTTAGAAAATAACATATTCCTCACTTTTCAGAAAAATTTGGAATCTTTTGTTTTAACTTATAAAATGTACATAAAATGTGGTAATGAACATCTCAAAGACAAGCTTAATTATGAACAATTACTTTCTTTCCAAACAAAAAAAAAATTAGTTTGTTTATAAAAGGAAAACTAAATTGGTTTATACCCTGATCTTAAATCTAGAAAGAAAATTCTACATTTTTAAATGTTATATATATTAATATTTAATATTCTTTAAATGAAGTTTTACTTAGATTTTTCCAATTTTCAATACCATTCAATGTTTTTTAATTATTCCAAAAATATTAGAAAAAAAATTTAAAGACACAACAAGTTGTATTTAAAAAAAAAGTTCACATACCTTGGCTTCCGAAATACTAAGCTATATTGCTGGCAAGCCAGACCCACAGTGGGGGTGTAAACAATAGGCATGAATTTCTCAATGTCAGACATTAGAACTCTATAAAAGAGTTTTTCATTTCTGTCTTGAAGATCCATTAAGAGAAGATACCTGTGGAAATGGTACATAATCAGATCTATATTCCAACAAAATCATGCATCAGCTTGCTTAGAAATCTAACCAAACACTTTTCAACAAAGTACAAAGTACTTTTTAGGTCATGAAGACCTAAACATCTGATCAAACAAGACTTTAGAAATATCCTTAAATACCTCAAAGAATGAAAAACCATAAACTGAGTGAGTTATTCAAGCATTAAAATCATTGTTGAGACAGCACAGTTTTATATTCGAGAAGACTTTATCCCTATTTTAAAATGAAAGACAGATGAAAATACCCCTATAGAAATACTTTCTTTTTAATAGTTTAAACATTTCTTAATAGTTTAAACATTAAGTAAACAGAAAGACTTCATCCTTTAACTTGCAGTACTGATTAACCAGGGGAAACAAAAAGGAGATAAGGAAGCAGTAAGGAAAGTAGCATCAATCCTAAAAATTATGAAGGTTAGCAAGTTCAAGGGCCTTTTCTTATTATTTGTATTAAATGGCCTTTTTTTCTAGAGCATTCTGACCCAGGTTATCTTTCTAAACATAAACTTTACCATGTTACCTGTAATTTTTAATGGTTTACAGAATAAAACTCAAACTGCTTGATACAACTTGAAAGAATCTTGAAAACTATATTTGACAGTCTTACCAGCCTTTTGGATTTATTTCTAATCCCCCAAATAGTTGAAAATGCACCAAATTTGGATTTAGAGACAGGATTCTAAAGTTTGGCAATACCAATGGGTTTACCAAGCCAAAAAATTAACATTTGGGAAGAAGATGATGAGTTTTAGACATGCTAAAATTGATTTAGCAATGTTTGAGTAATCATTGCTAAATCAATGATTAATTCTCAAACCTCATCTTTTCTTTACCTATCATAACATTTGATACAGGTGGCATTCCCTAGAGCTCAATACACTCTCTCCTTGACTTTTAGGCTATCATCTCTTGGTTTTACTCCTATTTCACCAGTCTTTCCTTTTCTCTTTGTTGTTTTCTCCACTTCTCTGAAAGTTCTCTAACACTCATCTCTAATATATTAGGAAATTATGCTGGCTTTATTTCAACATAAATCCAAATTCTTAATACCTTCATTGCTACCACTCTGGATCTAAATCACCATCATCTCTTGCCTGGATTATTGTAAGAGTCTCCTTAATATTCATCCAGACTACATTCTATTCTCAACCTAGCAGTCAGTGTACTTGACAGATAGCTCAGATCATTTTAATCTTCTGATAAAAACCTTGAATGGCTCCCCTTTCCACTCAGAGTAAAAGCCAAAGTCCTTCAGTGGCTTTCAAAGCCACTCATAATCTGTTCCAGACACCGGTCATCCTGCAGATCCTTGAACATATCAGCTAAAGAACACTGTTCCTCAGATTTCTTCACAGCTTTGGTTATCTGCTCATAAATAGCTTTCTCAATGAAATTTATCCTGATCACCTACTTTAACAGGGTAAACCGATGATACCAGCTCCCGGCATTCTCAGTCCCTCGGCTCTACCCTAGCTTTCTTTTTATTTCATTAGCACTTGTCACTTCCTAAAATATTAAATAATTTACTTATTATTCTACTATTTAGTATTTTTAAATAATTTTTTAAAATAATTTACCCAAGTTCTGCAAAGGCAGAGATCATTGTCTATAATCCCAATATCTAAATGACCACCTAATATTGAGTTGATGCTCAGTAAATATTTTAAGAACAGTCTATGGTAAAAATATGAAAGTCAGTAGGTCCTAGGAGATAACTAATAAAAATGGCCCAGGAAAAGAATATAAAATAAAAATATAAGAGTCTGAAGGAAGGGTTTAAGAAACAAGTGAAAGCAGTTGTGAAAAATTTAAGCAGCAGCAAATATACACATTAGATAAATGGAGTCAACCTCTTTACCTAGCTACCTGTCATCATCCACAGGATCATTAAAAAAGTGGCCTTGGCAGGGATGGAGTTATCCATGAGCTCAGCAACATGGATTTCCATTCACCAACGCCAACGTGTCTATAATCTGCCAGCAGCTGAGACCAACACTGAGCACCTGATAACGGCACCATTCCATGGGGTGATCAGCAGCTACCTGGTGGCAGGCTGATTACACTGGACTGCTCTGTCATGGAAGGGGTGATGTTTGTTCTTACTGAAATAGATACTTAACTCTGGATACATATTTGCCTTCCTTGCACACAATGCTTCTGGCAAAACTACAATCTGTGGATTTACAGAATTCCTTACCCACCATCACAGTATTCCACACAGCATTGCTTCTGATCAAGGAACTCACTTCAAAGCAAATGAAGTGTGACAATAGACCTGTGTTCACAGAATTTGCTGGTCTTACCATGCCCCCAACCATCCTGAAGCAGCTGGCTTGACAGAAGGGTGGAATGGCTTCTGAAGACTTAGTTACAGCACCAGCTAGGTGGCAACACCTTGCAAAGCTGGAGCAAGACTCCCCTGGAGGATATAATGCTCTGAATCAGTGTGCAATATATGGTGCTATTTCTCCCATAGCTGAGATTCCCAGGTCCAGGAACCAAGGAGTAGAAATTCAAGTGGCACCACTCAGTATTACCCCCAGTGACCCACTGGCAAAATTTCTGCATCCTGCCCTTGTGACCTTATGTTCTGCTGACCTAGAAGCCTTAGTACCAAAAGGAGGAACATTTCTACCCAGAGACAATGATTCCATTGAACTGGAAGTTAAGACATCCACTAGCCACTTTGGGTACCACATGCCTCTGAATCAACAGGCAAAGAATGGAGTTACTATGCTGGCTAGGGTGACTATCCTCCATTATTATTATTCTCTTCAATCCCCCAACAAAAAGGAATTCTGCCATAGACTGCCTTTGAACACAAACTACAGCTTTCCCCTTGGTCTCCAGCCTGACAGTCTACCTACAGACTTAGGACTTACCTAGCCTCCATAATCATAAGAGCAAATTCCTTAAAATAAAAGTAACTAACTAAATAAATAAAAACCAGTAAGATGTTGATACACATATACACATCCTGTTGGTTCTGTTTCTCTGGAGAACCCTGAGTAATGTAAATACCTACTAGGTTTGGGTTAGCTAACTCTTCTAACCTAAAACTGTATTTTCAAATAACTATTATTTTTTCAACCCACAAATGAAAAACCTGTGGTTTAAAGGTTCAGGACCTTAATAAGGAAGGAGAGAATCAAAAGCAAAGGGCAAGACATACAGTGGTCATGGCAGTGGTTGTAGTGATTTATTTAAGGGCCCACTGCTATTGAGAGGCAGCCAGAATTTCAACACAGGGCTAATTCCCAAGGTAGGAGATAAAGTTACCTTATCTTTGTGCAAAGATGGAAACCTAAACAAAGATCTACATCTGCAACCGTGTTAACCAAGTTTGGAAGTTGAAAAAGTGTGTGCTTTCACCTACAATGAACTTAATGTCTGACTAAAAGCCACTTTAATCTGTCTTGCTCTGTCGAGGATGCATTTCCTGATAATACACCTTTATAGCAATAATTTTATCACCAAAGAGAAGTGATCGCTCTGAGGATATAGTTTGGAAAATTTTACTTTATTCAAATGCTCCTACAGGGGTAGATTTTAAAAAAAAACTATTGTATTTGCAGACAGATTCTCCTCAAAGTTAACTACTCTTATCAAATCACTAAATATTTTAACTTTCTCCTCCCATAAAAAGTAAACTAGACAATTTTCCCTAAGAGAAGAATAAAAATCATCTTCAGAAATGTGTTACCTGTCAAAGTCAGAACTCAGACGCTCAAAATTTTTAATCACTCTAAGGACCTGGATATCCTGACCGATGAAGCAAGGCGGCAACAGTCCGTGAATGTTCAGTTGTTGTCTCTCTTCCAGGGAAAAAGCCAAGTCCTATGAAGAAAAGAAAAAACAATTATTAGAGGGGGAAGAAAGACAAAAAGTACATGTATTTTATATACACACACATAAAACCCAACAAATACATGGAAGTAAACATCAGAAGGTCTGATTTAAACATGTCCTCTTGACTATAACATCACATAATCTCCCAGTAGTCATTCCCCATCTTTAAATATTAAATTTTAATATTTATTGTTATTACAGATTATAATTTATTTAAATGTTTTTAAACTTATAAAAATTATAATAGGTTATAATATTATTATTATATTTTTTTTGCAAATCTGTGTCACTCTGATATTGTTAGGATGATATTAGGTAATGGACAGGAGGAAACAATTTGAAGACATGGAAATGAAAGCTATATCCTTATTAATGTTATTAAACATAAAAAGGAACAGGCATTATTATGAGATTTTTAAATTTTGAACATGAGTAGATCATTTATGACCCATCATGCTCTTCCCTATAAAATAGGTCAGGAAATGATTATATGATTGAGACACCTATTCAAACACTCCTCTCTCAAGTTATTTCCCACTATTTTTATATACTCCTAAGTACATGAACTTACTACCTCCTGAACACACTATACCTTTTTCTTCTTCCAAGACTCCGTGCTTCTCTGCCCTTCAAGCCTTACCTCATGCTCCCTTTTCTCTAAAGCCTTTCCAGTCTTATCCAGTATGTCCATTAGAACCCTATTATTATACCTGTTATCTGTTTACATGAACACTGACTGTATAAAAAATAGTAATACAAACAATGAGGTTCAAAAACAAGCAAACAGAATAGAATTGATGGTTTGATGCAAAAACTGAGACTGGACCTAAGAGATTTGCTGGAATACGTAAGACAAGGGGAAGTGACAGCAGATAAACTTCAGTAGTCATCGATCTGGAGGACTGGGATGAGCAGTTCCTCTGGGGATGATGCCCCTTTGAGAGAGTGAAGCCCAAAAGGCCTCTGACTAGACCGACTGCTATCCCTTTGGGTCTGGCAAAAGTGTACCGATGTGATGGTCAGGTTCACTCGCTGTGCTCACTGCCGATGTTTCTTAGACAACTTGGATGGGCAGGAATGTGCTCCCTGACTTTGCATTGAGTGATTCTACAGCCAGCCTCCTCTGCTCCTGGAAGTTTCTTGCAATGGCAGAGTAGTATCTCCTGAGTCTTAAGGAAGTTTAGTACTCTGAGAAAGGACAATTTGGTTCATCCCAGAGGTAGATGATGGACCCTGATTGGTCGGGAATGAACATGTCCAACCCCAGTAAGTAGGTGAAGGTTAACAGATGAACAACTCTTTCTTCTAATGTTTGTATGTATAGCCTCATTAATTCATATCACTTATGGAAAGCCTTATGTTTAGACTTCTGGGTTCAGGGTAGACTGAAGAAAGCCAAATATATTTGTCCACTGAATGACCCCTGGTAGAGCTAAGTTGTCTGCAAAAGCCAGCTGGGACCAATGGCTCTAGAAACTACAGCATAAGAAGCTGCACACAATCTTGTCTTCTCAAAAGTGCTATCAGCTGGTGCCCAGTTCCAAGACATTTTTCTCCACTAGCAACCACTCTCACGACTTTTAAAGCCCCCATTGTCACATGCTTAACTGGAGGTCCTCTGGAACTCCAATATGTGTGCACAGCAGCAGGATGGTCCCTTTCCTAGAGGATAATCCAGTGTGTCCAGCTGTGTTTGGCCCAATCACCGTCTTGTGGGTGCCTGGAGAACAGCAGACCAGTGCAGCCTGTCATTTCTTTGCCTAGGAGTTCCAGCACCAGGAGATACTTGGGGTACTGCTGAAACCTTTTGCATGCCATTCTCCTTTTTTATCTGTGGTTTGTGTCCCAGTGCCAGAATGTAAAATGAGGTCAAGGAATTTTGTCTGTTTTTTTCACTGCTTTATCCCTAGTGCTTGGAACAGTACCTGACTCAATAAGAATTCAGTAATTTGCTTCATAAACAAAACAGGAAGTTTTAGATATTTCATTTTAGAGATTTATATTAAAACATAAAAAGCAAAATTGCTACTCAGGAAGCAGCTCAGCATGTTAATTCTGGTATAATTACATTTAAAATTTAAAACAACCAGAAAGGGATATTTTTGTGAAAAAGTGACTATAAAATGGGCATGCTTGTTAGAGATATAACTGGGAAGACTGATCTTTTAAAGCAAAATATCATGAAATAACTCCATGAAATGAAGCAAAAATATGCACAATATACCTTTGAAAAAGAGAAAACTCAATAGATTTTTCTCTACATTAAAATGAAAATTTTGGAAATTAAAAATGGGAAAAAAAGTCGGCAAAGCTAGAGTCCCAAAAATACATGAATATATGTGAAAAAGCAATAAACATTTTTGAATATCCTTCTTTGAAAATCTGCATGCAAAAATAATAATCAAAACATCAATATCCTGGGAACAAGGTTTATTATCAGAAGTACTAACACATGCTCCTTTGTTCACTTAATGATGGGACTTAGCAATCATTTATTGGTATCGTTAGCCAATCAGCTTACATAAATTTTCCAATTTTATAGAAACTAATTTCTAAATCTAACAGATTTCCCATATCTTATGCCATGTAAATGATGCCATCTGGTATCTTTTGATGTGCTTTGATATTTAGTAACTACAAACTCCCATAAACTGTTAACCAAATTTTCTAAGACATAGTAAAGTGCCAATTGAACTATTAAAAAAAAAAAAAAAAACTAGGGCTTAGAAATCTGGAGAACTGGGCCAAGGTAAAGTTCTATGACCGAGTTCACATTCTTTTACTACCCCTTTTGAATTTTTTTACAAATTCAATTAGTAACTTAAATCTTAAAATCCCTACAAATTTAAAAATATATGTGGCACTCTCTCATTTAAACCATGAAGGGCCCCCACCAGTAAGATGGCAAACTTCCGGCTTCTCTTGGGGAGGGGAGTCCTCGGTTCCCGCCGGCGCCACCTGAAGCTCAATCACCTCTCGCTCCCCTCCCAATCCCAGCACCTAGCCAACAGCCAACAGCCCCATAGAAGTGACACCTCAATCAATTCATGCCCCTTCCTATATAACCCAGCACCTTTCCCTAATAAAGGCGGAACTCTCCGGTGAATTGCTGCTATATGTCGCACCTTTCCTTTCATTGGTGCCGAAACCCGGGAGACGGGACATGCCAACTGGGCCCCGTCTTCCCCCCGACACCAGCAGCAGCTTGCCCAAGTCCTCTTTTACCGGCGCTGTCTCATCACACTCACCACTCCTCTCTGGCCTTTAGGTAAGTTTTCCCCCCAGAGTGGGCCACTCTTCTCTGAGCTATCGCAGTGCCATTGACCGTGATCATCTGGCAAGGCTCTGACGCTCGGAGATGAGGAGGGAACTCTCCCCGCCTCAGGCCTTCACGGCTGCAGCGGACTCTCAGGCCCCTCCTCCGAAAGCCATAAATCCCCGCCTCAGGCCTTCACAGCTGCGGCGGACCCTCAGGCCCCTCGTCCGACAGCCATAAATCCCTGCCTCAGGCCTTCACGGCTGCGGCAGAATCTCAGGTCCCCCATCCAACAGCCGTAAACAAGGACTCCTTTGCGGATGAGAACGCTCCATTTCCCCGCCCCCTCCTCCTTCTGTTCCGTCCTCTGAAATCTGTTCTATCTGCCGAAAACGCCTAGCGCTAGGTACCTCGTGACTCCGGCACTCTGCCTTCTTAGGGAAGTCTGGGTGACGACCCACACTTCCCAAGAAATTCCGACTCGTATACGAGGTTCCGCAGACCACCAAGGATCATCGGGGACGCCCTTTGTCTCCTTGCCGTCTGCCTCCAGTCCGAGGATCTCCGTTCGTCTTCCCCTGTTTGTCTCCTTCTCTGTCCTTTAGCCATGGGAGTCTCCTCATCCCTCCCTGAAAGTTCACCTCTTGAATGCCTGCTTAAGCATCTGGCTACCCTCTCCCTGATGCCTGATATAAAACCAAAACTTCTCCATAAATATCGCTCCCAAGATTGGCCGACATACCCCCTAGACAATAACAACCAATGGCCCGCAGGGGGAACTCTTGATCCTAACATCACTCGCGATCTTTTTAACTACTGCCAGCGCCTGAAAAAATGGAAGGAGATTCCCTATATCAAAGCTTTCCGCCTCCTCCTCTCCCCGCCCCCTCCCAAGTTCTCCTAGCCTGCAAGCCGCCGCCCCCGCAGAAGCCTCCCGTTCACTCCCTTCCCCTTCTTCTCCTACAACAGCCCTTCTCCCTTCCTCCCCAACCATCTCCTCCCCCATCTCACCTCCTCCACCTTCATTCCCTGCAGATTAAGCCTGAGCCTTTCAGCCCCCCTTTAACTAGGTCCCAGGGGCCTCCTCCGTCTTTGCCCTCATCACCTGTTTCTCCCCTGTTAGGGACCGCCTTTGTCTTCTCACATGTTTGTAGAGAGAATGGGAAAGCACCTCCCCCCATGTCTGAACGCAGCATGGGAAAGCACAAGCTAGAGAACAACCGGTGCAGTCCTTAGAAGTTATCTGTCCACAAAAACATATCTTGCCAAGACTCCTCACTCTGAAAATAGGGAGACCTTGAAGATGTGTAGAAACACCGCCCCTGCTTCTAGCTATGCCCTTCCCCCACTTGCCGATGTGGCAGGAATAGAAAACAACGCATTCCATAAGCAATTAACTGGAGCCCTGCTGTAGCTCAGTAGAGCATGGGACTCTTAACCTCAGAGTCATGAGTTCAAGCCCAACTAAAGCAGCAGAGGCAAGCAGCTGGGCTGCTAGCTGGCGACATGTGGGTCCGATTCTATCTTTCTTTATTTTCTTTGCCCCCCTTCTGCACTTCAGGACCTGCTCGACTAGGCACGGCTAGACCGCGTCACTCCCCCACAGACTGAGCCAGAACCCTTCAGTCCCCCTCAGACTCAGTCCCGAGAGCCTCCCAAAATTATCGCCCCCCTCCGGGAGGTAGCAGGATCCGAAGGCATCGTGCGCGTTCACGTCCCTTTCTCCTTAAGA